ACCTAACCCAACCCACTAGATAATCCAATTAACAACTATCCAATTTAATAAGATTTATCAAGAGAAGATATGATAATAAAATTGCTTTTATACAAAGAATTCCCAAGAACTGGTAGTACAAATCATGAGCTTCTAAGATTTAGATTTCTTTATAAAACTGAATTGAAATAAATACATTATCTGTTTTAAATATACATGAACAGATTAAAATTCTAAAGCTACCAAGGACAAGAGGAAATTGTAACTGGAACGCAGGTATATTGTCTGATCCAACTCCCGCCATATGCAATAACATCAACATCCAACATCTGCACGCAAGGTGCAGAAGTGTAATATGAGTACAACCGATCACATGTACTCAATAAGTAACAAACCTAACCTTAGGTTGAAAGTAGTGACGAGCTGGGACAAGGGTCCGAGTCCAACTCCAATAACCAGTCACAATACGTAACAATATAATAAGAATGATACAAGAAAATAACTCAGGGATAAGATGTTCAACTCCTTCACAGTTACGGAAAGTAGGCATGCTTTTCAAGTATAACAGTAAGTCCCAAATCTTCCACTGAAACACCTAAAATATAAGAGTAAGTTCAAAAATCATGATTTTTCCAAAAAACCTTTCAACAATAAATAAAATGTTTCACTTTTTAGATAGCATGAGGAAAGTACATCTCTATGTCTACATGTCACTATGTATGTGAAATCATGAATGTCACCAAAACTGGGTGGCGTGTGGAAATGCATCTCTATGCCTGTATCTCAAATATGCATGCCAAACATAATGCATCTCAGTGGTGAACTCATCTACTCACACTCTCAGATTACTCAATCTCATGGTCTCACTCTCTCAGTCATCACGCTCAATACTCAGCACTGTACAGGGCGGATCTAGCCCAATCAAACATAAATAAAACCTCATGCTCAGTACTGTATATGGCCAATCCAGCCTAGGGAAGATCCACCGCAAATATATATATATCAACTAACAGTCAGTCACTCAGTACTATATAAGGCCAATCCAGCCCAGGGAAAATCCATCCCTAAATATAAATGATTCGGGCAAGATCCATGCCCTAGGAAGATCCATCCCTCAATATAAATCAACTGCGCTCACTATAGGGGTGCAGACTTCGGAGGGGCTCCTTCAAAGCAAGCACTATAATAAGCCAGATCCAGGCATAAATAAATAAAATATGCTACGGCGTGCAGCCTGATCCCATAAATATCACTCACAATCAGGCCATCAACCTCACTCAGTCATAAATCTCTCTCGTCCCTCGAGCTCACAATGCTCATACTAAGCAGCCCTAATTAATTATATGAGACGTGACAATACACAATAACATATACAAAGACGTGATATGAAATGATGAATAAGATTGAGTACATAATTGCAATTTAACAAATAAGTCAACAGCAAAGAACGACAACTACGGATCCTAACAGTTCCTGCATATAGCCTAAACCTGATTTCTAGCATCAATTACATCTCAGGTGCTCTAACACATAGAGTACAGTAAAAATGTTCATATAAGATAGCTACACAGTTCCATAGAATCGACTAAATCACAATTTACATGGTGCACACCCACACGCCCATCACCTAGCATGTGCATCACCTCAAAATCGATCACATAACACGTAATTCGGGGATTCATACCCTCAACACCAAGTTTAGAAGAGTTACTTAACTCGAACAAGCCAAATCCAATATTGAGAAAGCCAAAAGATGCTCCACAAATGCCATCCTGCTCGTACCAACCTCTAAACGGCTCAAGAAACTAGCCATAAGCAACTTAAATACAACACATAATGCCGAAGGAAATAAACCCAATCGATGAAGGTTGAATCTTTAATCAAAAGCCCAAAATCTTCCCAAAAGTCAAACTCGGATCACCTCAGAACCCAACAAAACTCACAAAACCCAACAACCCATTCAATTACGAGTCCAACCACACTAGTTTCACTCAAATCCGACTTCGAATCGACGTTCAAAACTCAAAAATTCACTCTATGAAACTTTAGGCAAAACCCCCCTAATTCCTTCTTTAAAATTCATCAACCAATTGCAAAAATGAAGATAGATTAATGATATAAAATCAAAAATGAGTAGAGAACCCTTACCCTAGTCCACTTAGTGAAAATCACTTCTATATGAGCTTCATAGCTCCAACTATGCAAAAATGACCAAACCCTCGAACTTAAAGCTTCTGCCCAGTGCTTTTCGCTTTTGTGAACTGAGCCGCTTCTGCGATGTGAAACTCGCTTCTACGGAATAAGCTGGAAAAATGACTCTTCGAACCTACGAAAAACATCTTCTCCTGCGCCATCACATGTGTGACCACTGAACGCGCATTTGCGCATAAGACCACTCATGCGCCCAAGGATTTCGCTTATGCGCACACACAGGTGCGCCTCTTCCTCCGCATCTACGATGATCTCCAGCCAAGACTGTTTGCACTTCTGCGACCAATTTTCCGCATATGCGGACTCGCATCTGCATCCATTCTTCCGCAAATGCGGAAGCACCAGAACCAGTATACCTTCAACAATGCAACATGAAATGAAAATTATCCGAACCTTATCCGAAACTTACCCGGGCCACTCGAGCCCCCATCCAAATACACCAACAAGTCCCATAACATAACACGAACCTACTCGAGTCCTCAAATCACACATAACAACATCGAAACGACGAATCACACCTCAATTCGAACTTGAATGAACTTTGAACGTTCAACTTCCAAAACTCACGCCGAAACATATCAAATCAACCTGGAATGAACTCAAATTTTTCACACAAGTCCCAAATAACATAACGAAGCTATTCCAATTCCCGGAACCACAATCCGAACATGATATCCTCAAAGTCAACTTTCGGTTAAACTTATAAACTTTTCAAACCTTCAAATTTCCAACTATCGCCAATTAGCGCTGAGTCCTTCAAGAAATATCCAAATGCAAATCCGGGCATAAGCCCGAGTCTAAAATTACCATCTGGACCTAAGGGAACCATTAAAACTCCAATCCAAGATCAAATGCTAAAAGTCAAACTTGGTCAACTCTTTTAACTTAAAGCTTCCATCATGACGTTCATTCTACCAAGTCGATTCCGAATAACCTAAAAACTAAAACTGACAATTCACACAAGTCATGATACATCATATAGGGCTATTCATGCCCTCAAACTACCGAGCAAAGTACAAATGCTCAAAATGACCGGTCAGGTCGTTACACATATAATGTTCATCGACTTAGAAAAGGCGTACGACAAAGTTTCGAGGGAGGTTTTGTGGAGATGTTTGGAGGCTAGAGGTGCACCAGTTGCCTATGTTAGGTTGATTAAGGACATATATGATGGAGCAAAGACCCGAGTGAGGCTAGTATGTGGGGACTCAAACTATTTTCTGGTAATGATAGGATTGCATCAGGGGTCGACACTCAGCCTTTTTTTTTGTTTTCTTTAGCGATAGATGTATTGACACGCTACATCCAAGGGGAGGTGGCGTGGTGCATGCTATTTGCAGATGATATTGTATTGGTTGATGAGATGTGAGATGGCGTGAATGCGCAATTAGAGGTATGGAGGCAGACCCTAGAGTCTAAAGGTTTCAAGTTGAGCAGGACCAAGACAAAATACTTGTAGTGTAAGTTTAGTAGCGAGACTCAAGTAGGGGAAGGGGAGGTGAGGCTGGACTCGCAGGTCATCCCTAGGAGAGGAAGTTTTAAGTACCTTGGGTCTATTATTCAGGGGGATGGGGAGATTGATGAAGATGTCACACATCGTATTGGGGCGGAATAGATGAAATGGAGACTCTCTTCCAGTGTTTTGTGTGACAAGAAGGTGCCACCAAAACATTAAGGTAAGTTCTATAGAATGGTGGTCAGGCCAACGATGTTGTATGTGGCTGAGTGCTTGCCAGTCATGATCGCTCATGTCCAGAAGATGAAGGTAGCAGAGATGAGTATGTTGAGATGGATGTGCGGGCACACCAGGTTAGATAGGATAAAAAATGAGGTTATTCGTGACAAGGCGGGTGTGGCACCTATTGAGGACAAGATGCGGGAAGCGCGGCTTAGATGGTTTGGTCATGTAAGGAGGAGGAGCACAGATGCCCCGGTGAGGAGGTGTGAGAGGTTGACATTGGAGGGCCTACGGAGAGGTAGAGGTAGGCCAAAGAAGAGGTGGGAGAGGTGATTAGGCAAGATATGACGCAACTTCAGCTGACCGAGGACATGATCCTAGATAGGAAGGTATGAAGGTCGAGGATTAGGGTAGTAGGGTAGGTAGTCTAGAGTGTTTATAACAGTAGTATTGGCAGGCAGTCTCGCTTTCTGTTGGTCGTAGATTTTTATGACTAGTTGTTGTTTCCTTTTATTGTTGATAACCTTACTATCTTATTGTTTTTATTCTGCTTTTATATGTCTTTTTGGTACTGTCCCTTCTTGTCTATATTTTCATTAATGTGATGCTTATGCTTTCTTGAGTCGAGTGTCTATTGGAAACAACCTCTTTATCCTCACAAGGTAATGGTAAGGTTTGCGTACACACTACCCTCCCCGGACCTCACGATATGGGATAATACTTGGTATGTTGTTGTTGTAATCAAAGGTCTTAGTTCAAATTTTACGAATAAAAAAAATTCCGATAAAAAACGTTTCCCTTTCTAATAAGTCTTATGCAGCCTAGATCCAAATTAAGTGGGACTCAAAATACAAATATCAAACACAAAATATATATATATATATATATATATATATAGAATTGCACATCACAAAAAGCCAATTAGTTAGTCAAGAGAGAAAGAAAGGTCTCTTCTCTTCGTTCACAATAGCTTTGTCCAAAGCATCCTCAACTAACAATGTCCAAATCCTCGAATGTCTTAATGCTAATAATATTCCAAAGTGTTCTCAGTGCTCTCCACGTGTCTAATTCCTATTTGGTGCACTTTAAACGTGCTTTCTTTTTAATATATTCACATTTATTCCCCAACTTTTCTCTCTCTTCACTTATACCCCACACTCACCGGAAAATAGACTCTCCCAGAATATCTTCACAGGAACGCCATTTCAATTGTAGATAAGAGCTTGTAGTACAAAAACAAAGTTAACCCCCCCCCCCTTTTCAAACCCACCCCTATCGCCCAAAAAAGGGGACCAAAAGACAAAAAAAGAAGAGTAAAGTTCAAAGCTTTATAGGGGTCTTTAGAGTTGCTTGTTAGGTCCTTATCTATGCATGAAATTTGTATTGATAGTATACATATTTATATTCTTTTAGATATATTTTCGCCACTATAAGTTTCTTTTTTAGCTCCTCTTGTTGCTTCCTTTGAAGGTTCTTGCTTTTATTTTTGGGGGGTTGTTTTAATGTGCACACTATCCAAAGACTGCTAGTTTCTTGATTTTAGTTTAAAAATCAAGTCTTTCTTTTTTCATTTTCAAGAAAAGGGGCTATCTTTTTATATGATTCTTGAGTTTCTTTTGTATTTTTAGATCTTTTGGGTGTTTGAAGTTTTGGAGGCATATTTTGGTTTTAAATTCTTGGACTTGTTGGTGGACTTATTAGGAAGTTAAAGGAAGAAGCTTTGCTTATGAGGGTTCAAGTGTTTGCTAGGATCAAATATTCATATTGTAACGTGAGAAGATAGTATTGACTTTTTGAGTGATGGGGGTTATTTGCAAGTAATTTGTAGGATCAAAGGGTTGAGTTGAGGATGAGGCATTCAGGGATAATCTGATTGAGAATTTTGCAACCATGAGTTGCAGTGAGAAGAGTAGAGAAAGAGAAGAGGAAGAAAATCCTGTTGGTAGTGTACAGAAACACGTTGAAGGCGTATCGCGAAATGGATCATCAGTAGTACCCTCAAATCAATTATCTATTGATGAGAGAGTGTTGGTGGATCCAAAACAACTCTTTATTGGAACCAAAATTGGTGAGGGAGCTCATGGAAAAGTTTATGAAGGAAGGTATGTAACGCCTTTCGTGCAATATTACCCATAATTTTTTTTAGTGTAGTGCTGATCATCATTGTTGTTCTGCCAGTTAGTTGAAAATTGTGATGCTGTAACTTGTGGATTTTATTTTAGGTGATTGGCCAGTGTTACTGTTCCATTGGTTTACTAGTTAGGTAAATGCTATCTTAGTCAGAAAATGTAACATGAGAGTTTGCTTGCCATTTGAGATTGATATATTCGTTGGGTCTTATATAGTAACTGAGAGTAACTATTTTCTTCCTGTGGTTTTTCTAGTTTGGTTATTTTCATTTTGTCTTGAGAAGCAGTCAAACGCAACAATTTCTGTCATTTAACACAACATGAAGATCGAAAATATTTGTGCTTTTTGTTATATTTTGGATTATCTGCTGTCTGGTTTTATTGTACATTTTTCATTTATCGGAAAAAATGCTTCATGTCTCTCCAGGTATGGTGATCAAATTGTTGCGATAAAAGTTCTAAATGGCGGTAAAACTTCGGAAGAAAGAGCTTCACTTGGAAGCCGTTTTGTTCGGGAAGTTGTTATGATGTCAAGAGTAAAACATGAGAATCTTGTAAAAGTAATTACTCCGTATCATTTTTCTTTCTCTTCCAACTTCATTAGACTCCGAAATAATACTATTCTGATTATCTTTTCAAAGTGCTGCTTTTAACTTCCCTTGAGCAGCTTTCTTTTGTTAAGTTTAGCAAGCCCTATGGTGTTAGCTAGTAAATTCTGATTTCTTGTTTGCAGTTTATTGGAGCTTGCAAGGATCCTTTGATGGTTATAGTGACAGAGCTTCTGCCTGGAATGTCCCTTCGGAAGTACTTAGTCAGCATTCGTCCAGAAGTGCTTGATCTTCATGTCGCCTTAAATTATGCGCTTGACATTGCTCGGGCCATGGAATGTTTACATGCCAATGGCATTATACATAGAGATCTAAAACCTGGTACCACTTGGCTAGCGAGCTGTACAAGACTTTTTTCTTTTTTTCTTTTTGTTATTGTAGTTATCCATTGAAATGTTAAACAGGCCAGATATTGTGGTATTGGACTATATTCTTTTATCCATCAATATTTTACTGCTGGAATAGTTCTTCTTCTGGGTTATCTTATCATTTTATGTTGGCTCTTCTATGGTCAGTAATCTTAGTACCATTGAAGGAAGAAGTTATTAGTGCAGACATTGTGGTATATATTTCACTTCATTGCTTGCCATCTCAATTCTTTCTTCTTTTTATAAAAAGAATCTCAATATCTAGGGAAGCCAAAAGTGGATAGCACACTCATTCTTAGTTGATGTATGGGTCAGTTTATGCTCCTAACTTGGAGTTTTATTCTTAAGTTGGCATCACTCTCTTATTACCATTCCTATTTCATGTTTTAGTGTGCTTTCTTTTTTTGATCGTTTCCTGTCTAAGAAAGTGCACATCTGGAAATGTCATTTATGCAGACAATTTGTTGCTCACGGCCAATCAGAAGTCTGTGAAGCTTGCAGATTTTGGGCTAGCTAGGGAAGAGACCCTCACTGAGATGATGACGGCAGAAACTGGGACGTACCGGTGGATGGCACCTGAGGTTTGTATCTAATTTAGCGACTTGTTATTCAAGCACCATCTTTTCAGGAGTGAACCATGTAATTTCCTCCACTAGACATGTCAATAAACATCACTTCAAATGTAGCAGGTTATTATTATTTTATACCTATTTATGTATCAATATCTTTCTGTATGGAGGATTAAATTATAGGTAATATCAACTTGCATGGTTGAATAGAATGGTTAGGGATTGCAACTATGATTCCACTAATGAAACGTGAGCAGATTTACACTTTTGCATTTTCTCATCTCATAGATTAGTAAAGGCTATGATGACGTCGTGGCGAGTAGGATTATGTACCTACTGAGTGGCTACTGCATAGGAATATATCCTCAAGTATTGACCCATCAGAATTATTTGCAAGATAGAGATGAAAAGTGACAAAGAGTGAATAGATAATGATTTGACAACCAAAGTGGCATCCTATTTATCCGTTTACCCACCTCTAGAAAATATTATTATGTAAAAGGAGTTTCCTTAACTTATATTTAAAAGGAAATCTATGTCCCTTGGCTTTGGTCTAGTGTTAAGAACTAAGATCACAGTGGTTGATGTGTGGGTTAGGCGCATGTCATGGTTCCAGACCTGCCACATACAAAAGCATGATATTAAGTGGGGAAGGGTAGGGGGAAAAGCCCATTATCCGCCAAGTCTCGAACTGTGCACCATTGTCCCTTGGGAATCTTCCGGTTATCCCAAAAACTTAAAAGGAAGATCTTCAGGTGTAATTTCTAATTTCTCTTCTGTTCTTCTGAATTACAATATTATAATCTTGATCTGAAGCAAGCCTTGAACTGTTACCACTTTTAACTTAGGATAAAAGGAGGACTTTGGTTTGATGATATTCATATCCAATTTATTATCTTTAAGGCTGTTCTGTGTTGCTGTCATCGTTTTTTCAGTCGCCTTTATAAACTACTATCCTTCCTGTTTAATTTGGTAGTTTGGTGCCTCTAAAGTCTAATTATTTTGTGATACTCCTATTGGAATTCCGCAATGAACTCCTGGTAGTCTACTATATATTTTATGATATAAAGGTGTGCGCTAATGCCTTGATGATCAAAGTTCAAATGTTTTGTCGTTTCTCTCTTATATTTTTTCTTTTGAATGTATTCTTACTTGGGTCACTTTCAATACCTTTTATATGGTTTATCCTGAATTTTCAAGTTTCTCAATTATCTGAATTATTTCTTTTTGGCAGTTGTACAGCACTGTCACATTGCGTCAGGGTGAGAAGAAGCATTACAATAACAAGGTTGATGTTTATAGTTTTGGTATTGTCTTGTGGGAATTACTGACGAACCGCATGCCATTCGAAGGAATGTCGAATTTGCAAGCTGCTTATGCTGCTGCTTTCAAGGTACGGAGGATTTTTCTGTCTTCATACTGTTGTTCCTGGGCATATTTATTGCAGTACAATGAGGTATGCTATTTGTTATTTTTGATTATGACTGTAAAAGAGCCAACCCTTTGGATTAACTTCATTAAGAAATCCCACGCGTCGATTGGCTTGCTCGAGGATTGGAAAACCTTGATCTACGATTCAGTTTTAGCGTGTGAAAAAAGAATGTAGAAAATATAACCCCCCACCCCCCACCCCCAAAAAAAAATTAAAAAAACAATTACAGATGCTGTCATTTGACTTCCTATTGAATCTCCACATCCAGATTAAAAACTTGTGCGGTTGACAATGGCTGCTAATAAAGAGTGCTAAAGATGGTTCGAGAAGAACTACTCCTTTTTAAAGGTAGATATCAATCTCATTAATGGGTGTGTCACGACCCAAAATCCCACCATAAGTGTCGTGATGGCACTTAGTCTCTAAGACTAAGTAAGCCGTTTATAATAACAGTCAAGCCATTTTTTTTAAGGATAATCGAAACCAACAACGGGAATAAAGATACAACCTCCCAAGACTGGTAGTACTGAGTCACGAACTCTAACTTAATATATGAAATGATCTGAAGGAAATTAAATGTACATTACTGCTCAAATAATAATTAACAGTACGATAAGAGGGAAAGACTCCAAGGGACTGCGATGACCAAACAGCCCTACCTTGAATCCTTGCGATCACACTCTAACTCTGTCTGAGTCCTATATCTCCAATACCTGGCTCTGTATATTAAAAATGTACAGAAGTGTAGTATGAGTACACCACAGCGGTACCCAGTAAGTATCAAGACTAAC